CCAAGGAAACTCCTTGAAGCACAGCATTCTAGGAGCACACTGCTGCTTTTGTTTGCCAGTATCCTATTCATATCATCTAAGTAAGCACTTTACATACTTCAGCCTCCAGTTTCAAACATTTAAGTTTTTATATATTTATATTACCACATTAAATACAGTTTGTGCTTCTTTTTAAACTGGGGGAGTCTTGTAAGATTATTTTAACAGTTGCATTAAAGGACAGGGTTAGGTTTTGGTTTTTTTTTTTTCACAAGTTTGCAATAAATTAGTTTTAATTTGAATAATAGCTCCATAGGTTATAGCACTAGTCCTTAAGTGTTAATTATCTTTTCACTCTGAAATTAATGTAGTCATTTCCTACTGACTCCTCTACACCATTATTGAAGTGCTGAGGAAAACATGTCATTGAGTTCTGAGCCAGAACTGTTGTTGTGATTAATCCTGGTCACATGGCCAATCTCTGCCAAAAGGAGATCACTGAAAAAAGGTGACAAAGACAGTGATTTCCTGTCAGCAAAGAGTACGACAGGGCTGTCTAGAAGTGATGCAAATGAGGGAAACTTTCACCACGGTTTGTTTGATCCACTCAGGGCCACAGCACACTGAGCCAGAGAGAAAGGCACAATGGAGCAGCAGCACACCCAGAGGAGAAAATGAACCGCACCTTCCGAGGAGGGGTAGCTTCCAGTAGGGAAACAACAACTGCTGAGAGATTTTTTTTCCCTCAACTTTTTTTGAAAGGTATCCATAGCTTTTGGTGTGCATTTTCATGTTATTTAATACAGTGAACTGCTTCCCTTTGATGAAATAGTTTAGCAGTTAACCTGTTCAAAAACTGTGTCAACTATTTTTTTTTCAAAATCTTGGCACTACTACATAAGGGTCTTTTTCCATCTATCATGAAACATCATTGCTGAAGACTTACTAATGCAAGACTTATGGCTTATGCAGTTTGTATTAGAAACACCATACATTACTTGTAATCAGACAGAAAAAAAATGATTTCTTTTCTTTGGTATTTAAAAATGTTTAGTTAATTTTATTCTGAACATACTAACAATTTTAACAATCATACTGTACTTATTTAAATGGGGTTTTAATCTAACACAATTAAGTTTTGCAATTAATCTTCTGAGGAAAATGGAAAGAATTATCATTAACTTTTCTGCTTAGTATACTCATTTCTAATCTCCACAGTTCCAGTAAATACTGATTTGCTTCATTTTTGAACATTCAAGGTACAGAATTACTCAAGTTCCCACTAAAGGGCTAATTAGCAGAGTTTAAATTCTTTGGGCTTGATCCTCCAGTAACAGCATATGAACACAGCTGAAGTCAATGCAAGTTCTGTGTACTTAGAGCTTATGAGATCAGGCTCACATGCAGTAGATTAGAATGAAATAAACATGATATCTTTGGCATTAAACTGAGGTATTACAGCAGTACAAGGAAGCAAGAGTCCAAAACCATGGAAATGCTCGTTTTAATTTTTTCTTAGTTAATACATAAAGAATTAGAGGACAAATAAACTGTCAGCAATTCATTCCATGACTGCCATTTTATCAAACACTAGTTGATTTCCAAAATCATTAGCTAGTTTAAGACTGTAAAGCTGAAATCATTTAGGGCTATGGGGGAGCATAGTGAGGAATAGTAGTTTTCTCTTTTTGTAAATCTTTGCATTGAAATCTAGGAAATCTAGAGAAAGTCATACATACATATTCAGGATTTAAAAAAATATGGCTGCTCCTATTATAATAAGGGCAAAATAAAACCTAGTTAAAGAGAGATAATAAGGATCCTAATAAAAAACTATGAAGCTCCTGGAATATTACAAAACAAAATTAAGCTGAGAGTTGACTTAAATCTATATTAAATCTGAAAAGAGTGCTAGGAAAATAGTCTAACCATGAAAATACATTTTATTTTCCCATATGCAATTTTAGCATTTATATATTATGTTATGCTGCTTTAATGTATGCTTTTCCCTTCCGATTTACCTGTTTTATCATTGCTTCTTCCCATTCATAGACTCCTTAGGGGCAATGATTACTGTTGGTAATAGTGATACCACAGCAGGTTCCCTGGCAGAGGCGGCTTGCTGAGCTGGCTCGGAGGTGCAATTACTTGTCAGCTCAATAACTGAGAAGAGGGATCTGTGGGTTTAGGAGAATCCACCAAAATGCAGAAAGTGCAATTAGCAGGTTCACATTTGAAGCTGTAACTGATAAAGGATAACTAAAGACAGACCTGTGTTTTTGTAACACCCCACATCATTGAGGAATTTTGATGATAATAGTTGCCCGAATTTCTCTTTACAGATTTCTCTCCCTGCAGACCAGAACGTTTCTGTTCACTGTGAAGTGTAGGCAGTGGTCCTGCCCCTTAGATGTGAGCACTGTACCGTCCACGACTCTGTATGAGAGCCTCCAAATAAAAAGGGTGTCACTATTGATTAGAAGAGGTTTGCTAAACTACTTTTATAAAATTCTTAATACTGTTTTTGACGGCATGATTCAGTGTTACATGAATCTCTGAAATTAAGGATGATAAAGAGCTAGTGATTTATCTGATCTCTTGTTTGCCAGTGCAGAAGTGTTCCTTCAATTACATTTGCTAATGTTTTCTTTTGTCTGCTTCTTAGTGTCTGAAATTATAGGGCTTTCAACACTTCTTCTGGAGGTGTGGGGGTTTTGGGTTTTTTTTTTTTTTTTTTTTTGAAAGGCTAATAGATCTTAATGCCACGCACTCAAGCTTTTTACATTATCTGCAAATACTCCTCCTGTTTTATGGTCACTCCTTAGTCATCTCTTAACCAAACTCCACATTTCTAGTTAAGTCTTTCCTTCAATCCTTAACGATTGGCTTGCTGCTTTCGCTAGAAAGGTATATGCCAAGAATATTCACTGCAGGAGGGCAGGCAGTCTGTTTCTACCCTTCTTCAAGTGGTTTTGCAGTGGCCAGATAGGTACTTTTGACATGGGGGCTCTATTATTTAGTGGATGATCTCCCTGCGGAAACTGCAGAACACGTAAGCTGCATGTGCTCTGGAAGCAGTGCTGGTTCGTCTGTGCTGCACAGACTACAGACTCGCTGCTCCCTCTGGCACAAACTTTCTGCTTTTGAAAGTGTCATGCTTATATTAATACAGAATTTCGTAATATTAAGAAACTATTACTTCCCATTTTGAATATACAATATTCCTCATTTTGCCAGCATACTGTACTGCAAACTAATTCTTAAATTATTCCCCTTTTTTATTCTTCTCACCATGCATTATTATCCCAGCCTTGCCATCTTTAATTTAAAAATTAAAGTTTCTTAAAAAGAACCGTAATTAATCTTAATGGTTAAATTTGGATATCAGAAAGGGAAGTATCCTAAATAGCACCTAAAATACTTGGGCTGGCTGCTTAAACTTTCTTCCTTTTCATACTGATTAATGGGTTGTTTCCTTAAAATTTATATTTATTGATTTTTTTAGTACAAGACTAAAACTAGTGGTCAGATTAGGCATGGTACAAGCTAGTCTTATATGGACAGGCACTATCAAAACACTTTATTTTAGATTCACAATAAACTTTTACCCATTTCTGACATTGTTTATTTCTGAGCCAAGGCTGGGACTGTTAATGTGTGATTAAGTCTGATTAAGTATTTAGAAAGTTAGGAAAAAGACATAAGCAAATATAAGAAATTATTGTCAAAGCCAGAAATGGAGGCCACTGAATTCAACTCGCATAAAATACTTCAGATCTGAACCATATTTCCATTTAAAAACATATTTTAACTCATGTGACAACTCTGTCTCACTGGGTATTTTAAATAAAAAAGATAAAATTAGAAAGATTAAAATGCAAAAAGACCATAAAGATATTAGAATGCCAAAGCAAGAAAAATTAAATTATATTTAAGAAATTATCAAATCATGCAATCATAGAAGAAAGAAAACAACTTCTATTTGACCTTGAATGTACCATTTATTCGACAAGAAATAAAAAAAAAAGCTAGAGGGTAGTTGTTTCTTGTCATTATACTGTTGCTGATTCTGTGGTTAGTTATTAATTTTATTTTTTATGATTCACAATCTGCTCTTTGAAATATGCCATATGCTCAAAGCAATTCAAGGATGACAACTGTCAGAATTACTCCAATAAAAATTGCCTAAATGAGGAAGATTTACTGCAGCCTGATATTTCTGTTGAAAGCCCCTCCTTTCTTTCCCCTATTACTCCTCAGACCCATAGACTACAACTTCTCAGACACACAGTGAAGTTTGAATCAATTTTAGGATCAAATCACACATTTTGGGGAACTTCTTAAAAGTACTGTCTATCTAAAAGAAGTGATAAAGCTAGGCTAATGCTGCTATGACAAATAAGAGAAACCTGGTGTGTGTGTGTGCGTGTGTGCATGTGTATACACGTGTATGTTAGATGAAGACCCTATAATCTATATGCAAGTTTAAAACCATTTTGCTGAAATCGTAAGCAAGTGTGATGACTTAACATGACAATGTCTGCTTTATGTATAACTAATAAAAATTAAATTGGAAGAGTCCTGTATCCTGGCAGCAGCAAACCAAAATCAAGGCAAATTTCCTTCTTCCCAGATGAGGTCTGAAAGGTGGATAAAATCCAGCTGAAAGCTCCAATCAAAACACATTTTGTTAAATGCTACCATTTCATTTTTTTCCTTCATTTTGTTTCAGTCTATTTATTAATGCAGTTTCATTTATTTCTATTCATCTTGAAGACAAATCTTTGTCCTTCTATAGAATTACACCAAATAGAATGTGATAAAGGGAACTTTCTTGCAATTATGATGTCGGTGCAGCCTGTCAGCGCACAGGGGATGGAAATGAGGTTGGGGACAGGGAAGGGAATTCTAATAGACACCATGATACATACAATGAACGCAGCGATATCCTGTGAGAGAAAGACTTGTCAAGCTAATCAGATCTTCTACAGCTAGGTAAAGGCAGTAACGGTAGCGCTAACCTTGTAAAGATGCTGCTGCTGCTCCTCTGACATCATCAGGTCATGGCTGTCCATCACGATGGATTCCATGTCAATCAGCCAATCCCAGAGCTCCTGGTATTCTGAATCAAAGTCCAAAAGGCTGTAGATAAGGAAAAAAATGTATTATGCATAAATACTGTGTAGTTGTTAAAATCTTGTATTAGAATAATATATTCTTGAAAACTCATGATGTTCTTAGTTATATTTCTAAAGAGACATTCTGTATTTATTCAAAGTGGATGAAAATGAAAACTGAAATCCAATTTAAGCCAGTGCCATGACCTAAATTCAGCAGCTGATGCCAAATCCTGACAACTGTTGGCATACTGTATTTGCTTCAAAAATTTCGAAATAGAAATCCCCCATGGATGATGATGTTTAATGGTTTTTAAAGTGCTAACTTTATATTGAGCAAACTTTGCAACAATCATGTCAATACAATTAATACAAAAATATTGTTTTCATTGAAAAATGACTCAATCCATTCAGCCATCCCTCTGCTGTCTATCTGCCTATCTCTGTAAATATCCTACATTATTTTCATGGATGAGTAGCTAGCATTTCAACTTAACGCCTTAAGATAGGCTTGAGTGAATATGGTAAGCCAGTGAGAACTAAGGCCAGATACAGTATTAGACAGGTGTTCCCTACAGACATGTAAGAAACAAAGGTAAGGACAGGAAGTCAAAACAATGAATCCTTGAATAGCCAGCAATCATTAAAATTCAAAGGAGGATCACTACGGTTTTCAACAAAATAAATCATTAGAATAAGGAGCTTAAAAGGATTAATGTGATTCTCTATTGAAAGCCTAGTGAATAAGTAAAGCATAGATTCTTCTAAAACACTGTGATACAAGACAGAAGGTACACGCTGAAAAACTGCAAATTCGTCGCAAAGATACCCCTTGAAAAGGGATCTTCAAACTTGCAAAACTGGAACTAACAAAAGCCTTGTCAGTAGTATCAAAACACGCCCATATTGATCAAACAATAGTGCATGTTCCACTAAAGCTAATTTCTCCAATTGTTAACAACTTTTTTAACAACCATGTTACAAAAATTACCAGTATTTCAATAGAGAAACAATAAACTAAACAGGTTTTTAATGTTATTAATACCACCGCAGCTTCAGTTGTTATTAACTACAGTACCATATGCATGGTAATTTTGAAAGCTTATAGATGAAGTTGTGACAAGTAGAACTGTCTTTCAGCAAGAAAGCTAGAAAGAGGGAAGAAAGCATTTGCCTTCTGCAGTATTATTTTCAATGAGTTGACAACAAAGGAAGTCTTGTATAATGCACAAGTGTTGATTCCTGCTTCTGAAGTAACTCTCTAGTTTAATCCACTGTACTCAGTATACCTTTACTCAATAATTTATGAGGTGCACTTACTTAAAATTGCCTGCTGCCCTGAGAAGGTAAGCAATGATGCTATTACAAAGAAGAGCAAGCATAAAAGGGCAAGTTACTATTGTTGAAATATAATAGTTTCATTTGGAGTTCAGGGTTTTTCTCCTGTTTCAGGAGGTATTTGACTCAGATATCATTTTGAAACTAAAATAAAACTAAACTCCATTTTGAATGGTATATTTGCAGTGATACTGAATCTTTATCCCTTCCTCAGCAAGCAGTATAACCATTCCGTATCTTCAGTATCTACTGCTCCTTTTATTCTTTTCCATCTTATCCAAATATTATCCGAAGTCATAAAACTGAAAGACAGTTATTAAAACATATGTTTTATGATATCAGAGGCTAGATTTCATCTCATATAAATCACTACAGGTTCAGTTGGACTTGGATGGTTTGTACCAGTGAAAAATCTAAATTCAGATACGAAGATGATGGGAAACAAAGCCTACACCAAATGTTCCTGACCTGCTGCTGCCAGAATGGGAGGCCTTTGGAAACTGCACCAGGAAGTGGACTGGGATTTTGCTATAACAGACAGAAGACATGCTGGATCCAAACACGTCCTTTGTGTCTATAGAACTGCATCTTAGTTACAATCCAAACTGGTCCATTTATTGGTGTAATAGAATGAACCGATCCTTTAAAGATACACAAAAGCACTTTTCCCTGACCTTTATAAAACCCAGATAAGCACTAGGAAACAACCGAACATTTTGATTTCTAGCTAAAGTTCTAAACAGGAACTCAACCCAAAATGAAGAGTAAGAGAAACAGGATTCCCTGGAAAAAGGCCAGGAAGGGATGCAAGATGTAATGGGGATATTTTTTACCCTATAGTTTACACACTGTGCCTAGTCTCCTTTTTGGTTTTCTGTTGTAAAATAAAGTCATCTGGGAGCATTTTCAAGCAAATGGTCTATGGCAGTTATTTGCCTGAGCCTGAAGATAGTGAAGTCAGCCTACTAAGCACCATCAATATATTTTTAAAAATTTGATTGTAATATTTTTAATAGCTCTAAAATAACTGATTTTTTTAAAAAAAAAAAAAGCTTTGTTTTTAAAATTAATTTTCACATCTAAATGAATGGGTCTACTGATTACTATTAGATAACTGTTTGGAAGAGGACGTAAGCTACTAAAAGCCACTAAAAATATATTCAGAAAACCCAGCAATTGTAGGATCAGTGACAGGTTAAGATTAAAATGTACCTGTCACTATTTCTGTGGTATATTGAATATTTCTTTTTTATTCAGAATCTATTTTTTTTTCTGGGCTTGGCAGATTTTTTTTCTTCATATTGCCACAGGCAGAATCAGGGAAAGCATAACTTCTGAAATACTGATGTGTGTTACAGATGTAAGAGCTATAGAAAAGATCTAATTTTGTTTGATTATCCAAATCCACCAATCACTAAAAAAAATAAATTAGGTAATCTGTTTATTGCAAAAAAAATATTCCTCCATTAAAAGTACCCAAACACTGCCAACAAGAATGCTATAATATTACTTAAAGAGCAGATAACTACAGCTTCCTTAATATAGGTTTGTTGGTTAGTAAGCTAAAACCATTAGTTATTTATTAACTAAAATGACATTAAGAAGTATTTTTTATCTTCGTAAACAGGGAATCAGATATGCAGAGTTGCATGTCTAATCCCTTGAACCCTAAACATATTTCTTAAAATGTGGACATCAATTTATTATTTTGAATGAAAATTCATGAGCACCTTTCTCATGAGAAAACCAGTTCGTCTGTGGCATTAATAAATAAAAAGGAATGTGAAGCTATTTCCATCAGCCTTTTTCCCTATGTTTAACAGACACTTCTAGTTTGTATTATTTCTTTGATGGCATAACTCACATGGTATTTAGGAGTACTGTAAACACACTGGTACGCCTACCAAAAATATTCAGCCAGACAAAAAGGCGTTCCAAGATTCTGGGTCATAATTTTTTGGAACTTCTTTCACATGTTTTTATGAGGAGGATACAGGAGAAATTAAGAGTTCTGACCTTAACAGCTTTAAAATTGCCCTTTAATCTGTGCACACTTGAAGCCTCCTCTAATGCATTTATCTCAAAGCCTTATCCATGGAGGTCCAATACTAGGTGATCATCCTCTCTATTGCTGTTACAAGAAGTCACCGTTCTGCAGGAAATCTGTTCTTTACACACCCACTAGCATCATCCTATTCTGCAGATACTGCCTTACCTGCCTCAGTTTAGCTATTTCCTACATAAAGCCACCTCCCAAATCTTTCCTCCCAGTATATAAACAACTCTCCATCTACAATAACTCTTGTTCTTCCTGTAGACCCTCTTCTTTCTCCTAGGTCAAACTTCCGTAACAGACAATGGATAACTACCCTAATTTCCCCAGTTACACAAATAGCCTCTTCTCTGTAGGGATCTCAATCTCTACCTGGGTCACCCTACTGCGAAATTTCTCTCCACAGTTTTTATGCAGTAGGGAAATGTTTTATCAACTGTATTTTCAAATAGCTGAAAGGTATTTCCATTGTGTTCAATACAATACCTCAGACCAGTTCAACTGGAAGTTTTCCATCTGAATTCAGCCCACCCTGGTTTCTATAACAGCTGAATACACAGTATTGTAGTTGTCTCCCTCTGGTCCTTTGGCCCCTTAAGACACTGTTGAGCCTTTAAGCACTGGGATGGCCATAAGGGCCCAGAAAGGTGGCCGCAGCATAGAACAGGTGGGGAACACTAGTAGATTACCATTCCCAGTAATAAGCCTGTAATTACGAGTGCAAACAAGTGCATTTAAGAGACTGTTTGCTTTACACATACAGTGTGTAGAGTTACAAACTGGATTTTTCCACAAGGCTTAAAGCCTTAAATCCCCTATCCTCAATAAAATCAAATGTCTGTTGATGTCTTACTGTCTTACGTCCCCCACAAAATTCCAACCCTAAGTCTTGTTCACATTCAACTGTGGCTGAAAAATTAGAAGCTGATTTTGAACATGTAGCCCGCAGTGCACATTTATATACATATACACACCAATTCTGAACAAATTATTTTTATGGTTGGCACTAGCTGAACTGGCGTGCTTGAGAATCTGACAGATTTCTGCATATGTAATCAAGATCTCAGTAATCCTACATAATTAGCTCACATCAACTTTTCTAAAACAGTCATCTTTCTGTATAATAAGAGGGGATGTTTACAAGGCTCATTTATCTTTACAGTCAGTAATTTAATAAAACTGTGTTTCCAAGACCTCAACATTGAGTTAACAATAGGAAAAGGAAGTTCTGGAATAAAAAACTCATGAACACCTTGGTCAATGACCTTCCTTGCATAGGAAACTGCAGGCAAAATTTCTACTGTATTTATTGGTTACAAGAAAATTTCTATCAGGATGAGGGTGTACCCAAACAACGAGCATTACTTGGCTTCTTTGAACTGCTTTTGCCCCACACCATTATGATCTCACAGGTACGGCCTTATGTTCATTTAGGGGAGCTAGCAGTTGGAAGATATGGTTTTCAAAAGACCTTCAAGAAAGAGTCTTAAACCAGAACTATAAATTTTCTTGGTTGTGAAAAAGGCAGGGGCAGCAAGATTTCATTTTAGCACAGTCCAGTAATTTTTCCGATTCTTTGTTCATACTGCTTAAACTATTCAGAAAGAGTTCTTTTACATATACACTTCCAATCAGAAGACCAAGTCAAGTGAAAACAGATAAAATTAAAGCTTTCTAGAAATACAAAACTGGGATGTTTGAACTGGTGAACTACAAGTGAATAGCTTCACATTCATATTTCCTAGTCTCTAGTACAATAATGATTATAGAGAATTATCTTGCAGAGGTATTAATACATTATAAAGATGCTTCCTTGGAAGATGCTAAGAAATCAAAAGATATGAAGTCGTTGGAGAAGAAAAGCTTGAAGCAAAAGGACACATTACATTTTCTTAAATCAAAATAATGGATTCTTATTAGACAATGTTAGGTAATCCTATGAACAAAGCATGATTTGGATTAATTATCCAGAACCCATTATTTTTTGCATTCATATATGAAAAAACATATTTATAGAGGGTTTTCCCCTGCCTCTTGGCCTAGGAAGAAAAATCCTGGTTAACTAGAAGTAAGAAAAAGTATATCATGTAAAAAAAAATACAGATCAGTGAGAATAAAACAACAAAAAGAATAGTTCCTTACCCATTACTTCCCACTGTGTGAACTTTTGACATATCAGCAAACTCTTCCTTTCGCTTGCTACTACTGTTGTACTGCTCACTGTACAGCTTTAAGGACATCTGTTCAACAGCATCTCTTTGTGCTTCCAGATAGCATAGCTGAACCTCAGCCTAGAAAAAGAAAACAAAGAAGAAAAAACACACCAAAACTTTAAAAAAAAAAAATTCAGAAAGAATGCTTTTAAAACAAATACTTTTGGATTGTAACAATTTTAACCAAATGATTCACACTATCATTTTCCTCGTTGCATGACAGTAAAAAACCTGAACCATTAAGTCAGAGAAAAGTGTGTTCTCAAATGCTAGAACTGAACTATTTAGGTTTCTATCAGAGAATGTGCTGTATGTTCCATGACCTGTCTATCCAAATGCTACATAAAAATGTCTGAACATGAATAAAAAAGATAATAGAAATCACACACAATGACAGAACAGGTAAATATATAAAACTACTTTTCTTGCAGGCTTCAAGACTGACATTGTTAACACATTGCCTGTGCTTCATAATTAATGTAAGCCATATTGCTATAGGTATTTCTGTTTTAAATAGTAAGTATAAACAAAACCAAGCAAATTTGCATTATTCACATTCTGCTTTCCCATATCTGGTGTTGATTGGTTAATCAGCAATTTTAATTGCAAGGAAATAGGCAGTAAGTGAGATGTACTGTTTTCCATCAGACTCTGTGCCTGGCCAGAAAAATATTGAATAATATTTGGCATCGTAACTTATCGAATAGACACTTTATTTATTGCAGCTGTGGTGACCAGTTTGATTCTGAGGCTCAGAGAACCAGATGATAAAAGGATGAAATCTGCTGTTTACCACACTTGCCCCTAGGAACAGGACAAAGAACAGAGGGTAGAATAAGTTCAAAAGCACTTGGGGACTGATATGCTGTTGTTTTCTTTTAATATGCTTCACCCAAAGAAAAACACATTACAAATTCTGATAATGCTTCAAAACCTGCTACTTCTGTGTAACTACATGCTCTTATTTCCATTAGGAGGGGAACACCTGCTTAAGTATTTGGTGCTGTGGCAAGTAAATGCAACAAGCATGGAGGAAATTTTGGATAAGGACTCTTGCATTTTCTACTGAGGGAGGCAGGGAAGTGAAGAGTTTGTTCAGCCGCTGACAGCATGACAGAGTTACCAATCTATGGACAACGGCAGCTGTAAAGACAAAGCAGTGAAAGGGCTGGAGAGGAGAAGGGGAATCTGCAAAATCTATGAAAAATGCAGGCAAGTGAAGGGAAATAGGCACTGAAGAATGTCAGTAGGGAGGTCTGAAGGAAGGTTGGAATGCTTTATAAGCTTGTGGTAATAACAGTTACACATATTTGCTTATGCATTGCCTTGGAGCAATTTTTGCTGAGTAATAACATAGCTGATTTGGAAATTCCGTTTCCTTTTAAAATTTGTCTTTCAAACTTTTACAGCTTTCTCTCTCAGTTCCTTCTTACCAGTGAGATTTGTTACATTTGGTGGTAAACTTCAGTATGTGTTTGAGAAAGAAAAAACCCAACCCCCTAAACAAAAAAACCCTAGCAATTTTCCAAGGAGGTTCCTTCCTCCTCCCCACCCCTGGCCCCAGTGCTCCAAAAGGAGGGAATTCGCATGTAGCCTAAACTCACACATATAAATTACAACTCACCTCTGAACTATATGAACATGTGCTATTTCTCAAATAGCACAACTATCCCAATACTTGAGATACACTTTTTTTTTTTTTTTTTTGCATTTTCTAATTCCCCTGCCTATAATTTCCTCCATATTTTAAAATAAGAATCAGGAAAAATAAAGAAAGCAGCTTTTCACAGCTCTTCCATTCTCTGTTCGCTTGCAAAAATATTTGTAAATAGGCAAATCATTAATGCATATGGAAAATGGAAGAAGAAAAAGGAGGATGAAACAGAATAGTGGGGAAAGGAAAAACAGTATGGAAAGGGTAAGTAAATATCTGGAGAGGGATGAATAAGAACGCCCTATTTCTTCCTCACAGCTATAAGGTTCTCTTTTATGGAGGATTATGAACTCCACCAACATCATACTCTACGAATCCTGAATACAAGCAATTGTGTCCCAGTTCTTGCACCTCAGAAATATGATCCCTCTATAAATCGACTATTTTTGTTTTTAAACCAAATTTCTGTCTTCGGTGATTGTGAATACTTACAGCAACTAAAATGCAGACAGTGTAGAGTTTCAGATGGATCTCTCTGATTTCTTTTCTGTATGAATTCATCTGTCTCACTGTTGTACTTAAGCATTTTTTTGTCCCTGTTCTACTGATGCCAACTCTAAATCCAAAGAGGCTTTGAGGACCTCGAGTTGGTATTGATCAGTTTAAGCCTCAAAAACCTACGTTCTGCAAAAGCTGAACTAATAGGCACAAAGCATAATCTAGAAAACAGTAGACAGCACAGACATGCAATAAATCTACTGTAGTTTATTTTCAACTTAGAATCTTTAGTGATAATGAAGGACTAGTTTTGCAGTATTTTGGCAGAATAAAGTAGCAACTTTATTAATTGCTAGTCAAATATAGAAAAGCTACTTGCTTTACCTTCTAGCTTATTTTAAGTGTGCATTTTCAGATTGCCCTACATACACTTTCTTGTTACTAAACACAACTATAAGAACTTAATTTCTATCACAAACACACCTCTATGGACACGGATATTTAGCAAATCCTGAGAAAGTCTATTGAGATATGCATCATCCCAAATACATGTAATAGAAATTGGGTGGGAGGCAAACATTCATTTACTCTTAGTGCCCCAACTTAGAAGTGGAATTCAGTTTCTTCTTTTTTTTCAGAGGATGTAGCATGTCAGAATGAGGGAAAAATTGAACATGGAAAAAAAATGCCAAGGAATAATATTCAGCAGTTGTCTTCCACTTCATGGTCCTCTTCTAAGTGACCATTTTTGCAGTAAAAACACAATAAAGATGCTGGTGATGGTCTGGTTACACACTTATACAGATTCTTTAACAACCACTGTCCTACCAGGATGGAATGAGTTTACAATATTCTGTTGTAAATTAAACTGAGATATTTCCAACAATCAAGTGACAAAATGCTCTCATTTTCCTGAGCCTGGAGGATCCAATCTCTGAACAAGACTATGAAAAAACAGCAGTCTCTGGGAAAAAAAAAAAAAAAAAAAAAAAGTGAAAAAATTCTATACTAATGCCAAATATTCAGTTCTGGTGAGCAATTAATAATGGTAAATGTCAGAAAGCTCATTTTCTAGAAAGCAAGACCTTATAAATAAACCGAGGGAGCCCAGGGTGCAGAATCTGCTTCTTAAGACTGGCTTTGCATGACAACATAGAGTGTCCTTTACTATACAGATCACTATATAACACGAAGGGGTAATCAGTGACAATACAAATCAATGAAAATACATTGTATTTCTTGTTAGACCTATGTGTTAGAATGACCTTATTCTGAAGTGGAGAAAGACAAGACAAGGGATAATGGCTGTTACTGTGGGAGGAAGGAGAGTGAAAGGTTGTACTGTATACAGAGTGTCAAATGAGAACCTCAAAATTTACACCAATGTTAACTGGAGATGAGAACTCAGCGCTACTGTTGCTCTGCTGCAAAAATCTTTAATACAGGAATGTAGTAGAATAAATATCACTGAATTGGTGTTGAAAGGAAAGTATTTTCAGACACTGTTTCCTAGGGAGCACAAGTCTTTTGTTACTATGTTACTGTAAGTCAACTCTACCGTGTTTTTTTTAACTATAGAGATTATAAGACATTTAGTTGAATTTGAATTATGAAAGTATCCTATCTTGCATTATCCTTTCTCTACAGTGCTGTAGAAAAGCTATACCACTGGACTGTAATTACTCTAGAATTACATATGAAATACAGACGTAGTTCATTTCCTCTGCCATTAGTTGAACTTAAGCTGGATAAAAGCATTGTCTCTTAAATTAAAGTACAAATTCCAGTTTCTGCCATACAAGGAGGTGGTCAGATAGCATTATGCAGTGTGTAGACTTAGAAGGCTCACCTGTATATGTATTTTACAGAAGTGCAAACTCAGCTGCATCATTCTAAAAGGATGCACATCCCAGCTTGGCACTCTTTATATCTTTATAATTGGTGAATTTCTTGAGAGATAAAATTGGGATTAATTCCTTACCAGAATTAAATTGATCACAGTAGCATTCATGTGGTCGTATCTGTGCCCTCAAGCATTTTTTGTTGTTTTCTTTTACAATATACTGTCTATTTCTCCACATTATAAAGTTGTGGAGAAGGCTTTCTTACAGCGCATGAAACAGACCCTGGCTCTGTCACAGATGTAGCTATTGAATAAAATTATGTTGAGGAGTAAACAGCTCAAAACCTCTTCCATGGAGATGTAGCTTACAGCAAGAGTTCTTTGGCAGGCAAGAGTTTGACCAATGATTCTCTGCGGACAGACTTGATTATCCACCACTCCATCCCCACAGCCAGCCAACAGGCATTTGTTTTTGTTGTTGAAGCACAATGGTAACTCTTATCTTCTGTTGGTTGCTTCTTTTCTCACACACCCCCATCCCCAGCATAATTAAAACGGGGGCCTTCCTGCAGTTGACTTATTTCTGAGTCTGTTACCCTTCCTGGTTTTGGATCTCCTAACTCTTCCATCCTTCATCTTGCACATTTTCTTCAGGACTGAATCAGATTAAAAAATAATCCTATATCATAAAATGTGTTTACTGAGAGCTGAACATTTGATAGTCCTATTACAAAGGACACGTCGTGTTTTGATCATGCAGGAAATTAATTCTGTTAATCAGGGCATGCTTGTTACCAGTTAAAGTCTTAGCACAGTGTTTTTATCATCATAAATCTCAGAAATGCTTTTGTATTGGTAATAACTTTATCACTTTATTTTTCAGTGTGCTAAAACCACCACAACAATGTGAAACCTTCACATAGAATGAGCAAAATTACAAGGCAACATCATTCTTACTTAAGGTACTTCAAGTCATGATAGAGTTTAAATAACAGCAGTAACAGCACAGTGAATTTTAAGCCTGTCCACAGGAGCCATAAAATGAAATTTTAAAGTAGGGTTGTGTTATAGCAAGCAGAACTT